GATTGCCATTAGAACTTCAAATCCAAGTCATAATTCCCTTTTGGGAGGGGGGGAATCAGGTATAACATCAAACAGTTGCTATGGGACTGGTCATATATCGAGGATTATCTGTATAGGCTGAATTTTGATGAAGAAAAACTAGATAATGTTTTAGCCCTGATAAAAAGTAATGGAGTGGGGGATAAAACAATTTAATGTCCATGTCCCTGAGGATGCACTTAAAAGACACAGGGAGTGGTCAAGATTGGTTTTCAAGGTGTTGAATCAGACTTTGGACAAATGTTTGTCAAGGAAGCTTTGATTTTGATTCCTGCAGAGTTGGGACTTCTTGACCCCTGAAGGACCTGCCAACATTAGGATTCTGGTTTGATTTCAAAAGCTCTGTCATATTAGCCTGGCTAAGAGGCTGAGCCTGTCAATCAGAAAGGTCGGCAGCTCGGCGGTTCGAATCCCTAGCGCCGCGTAACTGAATAAGCTCCCGTTACTTGTCCTAGCTTCTGCCAACCTAGCAGTTCAAAAGCAGATAAAAATGCAAATTTTATTTATTTTATTTATTAATACGATTTATAGGCCACCCAATCCCGAAGGACTCCGGGTGGCTAATAGAAATAGAAAAATAGGAAGATAGAAAAATAGGAGCCACCTTTGGTGGGAAGGTAACAGCGCTCCGTGAGCCTTCGGCGTTGAGGCATGCCAGGCACATGACACCAGAGACGTCTTCAGACATTCTGGCTCTTTGGCTTTGAAACGAAGATAAGCACCATCCCCTAGAGTTGGGAACGACTAGCACATATGTGCAAAGGGAACCTTTATCTACACAGGGAATCCTTGCTTAATGATCATCCTGCTTGAAACCACAACAGTGTTAAAAAAGTAGCTTTACAACTTGTCTGCACAATTATGACAATGACAACATCCCTGTGATTGCGATTTGGGCCTCTTGTTGCAGGCAGGTGGTTATGACCAGTCGTATCCCACAATCACATGATCATCATTTGTAGGCTTCAAACAGCTCCTGACAAGCTGGTTCAATGGAGAAGTCACCAGTGAAATAGCAAATTGCGGCCACTTGATGGCTCACTTAATGGATATGCGAGGACTCACTAAATAACTGAATGAGAAGTGATATGCTAAATTTGTCACATAATGTCTTGCTTGAAAACTGCATTACTTAGCACGAATCGGGGATGGGAAGCAACATGTTCAGTTTGTTCTCCTTCCTCTGGGGCACCAGTTCCAGTCACTGTTGATGATGGAGAGGTGCTGTCCATAGTCTTTATTTTTGGGGGTGCTGCACAACTCAATCCTTCATTGGTTAGGAATGAGGCATCTGCAGCTTTATATACAAATCACCGGGACCTGATGGATTACATCCCATTCAAAAGGAGCTGGCAGATGTCATCTCAGAACCATTGCACCACATCTTTCAAAAATCCTGGAGCACCAGGGAATTACCAGAGGGCTGGAAAAGAGCTGATGTGGTTCCCATCTTCAAAAAAAGGGGGGGAGGGGGAACGGATCCAGGAAACTACAGACCAATCAGCCTAACATCCATACCTGGGAAGATACTGAAAAAGATAATAAAAAAACAGATCTGCCAACATCTAGAAATGAGTAAATAACTAGAAGTCAGCATGGGTTTGTTAGGAACAGATCATGCCAAACCAATCTTATTTCATTTTTAAACATAGTGACAAAATTAGGTCATCAGCAAAATACTGTGGACATAATATACTTAGACTTCAGCAAGGCATCTGACGAAGTAGACCACAACCTACTTCTTGGTAAGCTAGAAAAAAGTGGGATAGATAGCATCACCATCAGATGGATTTGTAACTGGCTGACAAACCATACTCAACGTGTAATCCTTAATGGGTCTAAGTCTACATGGAGAGAAGTAAGCAGTGGGGTACCACAAGGTTCTGTCCTAGGCCCAATATCCTAGGCTTCAATATCTTCATAAATGACT